CGCGCCTCAGGGGCTTGGGGGCTCTTTGGGGATCATTAGATGAGCATTATACTAGCTCGAGCCCAGACCAGTACGCATAAATAATTTATTTTGGCACTATCTGAGGGATCCCTGAGCCCACTCTGATCTCGACATTAGGGTTTTTTTTTATGTGGACCGGACATCTTATTTATTTATTTATTTATTTATTTCGGCATTATTCCTTTCTCTCCCCCTACCTTGCTTTTTGTTGTAGTAGGAGTTTTTCTTTCTTAGTGCAGATATATATATTTCTTCAAGCACTGTAAATGGTAGAAACATATAATAGTGCTAGATATAGACTTTTAGTTAGCACTATTTATATACATTTATTTCTTCTGAGTTTGTTTGGATGCACAGGAACAATGAATACTATACACTGTTAAATGTAACTATAGGTCTCTCCTTTTTTTTGTTTCTGGCAAGATTTTGTTAAATTTATTTTCGATACAGGCATCCCTGTGCTACCTTTATATAACTTTTTGTGACTTAATCATTGTCATATACAGTTATTTTGTATCTTTGGGACACAACTCACCCTGTATACTTTATTTCATTGTAAAAACCTTTGGTTTTTGCATAGTATTAGGAGAAGGATCCTGAAAACTTTTGAACAGGACTTCTTTTTGGCTATATAGGCACATCTAGCGTGAGTTGTTTTTCCCTACAGGATTTTGGATTTTAACCCTTAGGGGTCATTGTTAATAATATATTTTGTTTTATTTTCTCTCTCAAAAATTTATAGCATATACTATTTTTAACTATACTATTAAAAGCTATATTTTAATTTAGGGGCACTCCTTGTCTCCCCCTTCTTGTTTTCACTACTGTGGTAGTCTCTAAAGGGTTAACCCCTAATTGAGTGCATCCCCTTGCTTCCAGTTTCTCTTCTAATTAATACACCTCCTATGTGGGGATTGTGTGGTATCTGGATCAATGGGCTCGGCTTTGGGGATAATTGGGGGCCCCCCCTGATGCTGTCTCAGGTTTTCAGCCTCTGGACCACTATAAAAGTGGGGTCAAGATCTGCATGTGCTAGCCTTTTCAATTTCCACACTGCTGTGAGGAGGGAAAGGCACAGGTGACCTTTATCTAGTTCAACCCATTTTCAACCTTTTCTCCAGGTGTTGGATTGATAGAGCCCTAAGGGTGCTATCCCTAGCCTCCCTCCCGTGGATAAACCCGTTTGATCCGGGTGGACAATCCTCGGTAGCGGTATGCCTAATCTGTTAGACAGTATCTTTTTTTTAGCAACTTCACGTCCACATTGAGCAGGTAAAATCGGTCTGTAGCTGCCACACAGTTCAGGGTCTCTGCCCGGGTTCGGAAGGACGGTGATAGTAACAGAGAGCGATTTGTGATGGAATTGGGTATCCGTTATAAGAGCATTAAGGGCCTGGGTAAATTTCAGAAGTAGGATATGTTTGAACTTTTTATAATAGTCCAGAGTGAAACCATCCGGACCTGCGGCGCGCCCGGTCTTAGCTACCTTGATCGCCCCCCGCGACTTCCTCTTCCGTAATCGGCACCTCCAGGGTTCCCACATCATCTGGTCTCAGTCTCGTAGCTGTATTTTATTCTCTCTATCTGCTATGTCTTCCGGCTGAGTCGATTGTGGGATGTTGAATAGGGAAGAGTAGAAGGAGCGAAATTCTGAAGCAATCTTGTCCAAGAATTGGGTAACTGTACCGTCAGTGGTCCGTAACTTGTGAACCTGGGAAAGAGCCTTGGGGCCCTTGAGCATATGTACCAGTAATTTCCCGCCTTTGTTAGCGTGTTGATTGAAGAAAGCCTTCGATTGTTGGAGAGAAGGGAAGTATCTGTGGGTGATATGTGTGTGTAATTGCCGGGGCAATGTGCCCCTGATTACGCTTTTGTGAGCTTCCCAGATTGTGGTCGCCGTGAGTTCGCCCCCGGCGTGTTCAGTTCAAAGTAGGATGTAAGAGCTTCAGACACCTGTTGTTATGCTACTAGGGTTATTTGGATTGGAACTCAACTGCAGCTTGTAGAACACCTTAATTACAATAGTAAAGAAATGAAGAATCTTTAAAGTAACAATACTGTAGCTTTAAGAAAAGAGAGGATTGCTGGCAATTTGAGAATCAAACGAAGTTTTAATGATTGCTAAACTTAAATAAATTGCATATAGGCAATAATCCAATAAGAAGAAAGTGCAGGTTATCAAACAATACAAAGTTCATTAATAAGTATTTCCTCAGAGAAGTATTAAATAAGATTCTTTAGGTTGCTGGGAATAATCTTCAATAGAAACATTAAGCAGGTAGTGATGTCCCGAACGGTTCGCTGGCGAATAGTTCCTGGCGAACATAGTGTGTTCGCGTTCGCCGCCAACAGCGAACATATGCGATGTTCGGTCCGCCCCCTATTAATTTACTAATACTAAGTAAAAATTACTTAGTATTAGTAAATTGTGCCCCTACTCGCAATACCGCGAGTAGGGGCATGTCTATTAAACAGTGAGCAGCCTGTGGCTGCTCACTGTTTTAAAAAAAAAGGGTCCTCAGGGGTGGGGGCCGGGGGGGACAATAGGTCCCCCCCTTATTGGTATTTTTAGGGCCCCCACCCACCGCTCAGGGGTGGGGGCCCTAAATACTAATAGGGGGGGGACCTATTGTCCTCCCCCTGGCCCCCACCCCTGAGCGGTGGGTGGGGGCCCTAAAAATACCAATAAGGGGGGGACCTATTGTCCCCCCCGGCCCCCACCCCTGAGCGGTGGGTGGGGGCCCTAAAATGAACAATAAGGGGGGGACCTATTGATAGAAAATATCTCTTGCCACCTTGTCTATAAACTCCCTATTATTACCTTTACGTTGTATTTAAAAAAAAAAAAAGCACAATATTTTCTAGGTTGTAAGCTCATGGGTAGCGTCTTCTGTTCCTCTTGTATCAGTATGTTAGCTATATAAATGCCAAGTTATAATAATGTTAGAGTGCCTTAGTTTCAAGTATGTCTTTCACCATTTACATATTTTACCACTAGAGGGTGCTGACTCTCTTTGCACAAAAGTGTGTTGAAAAAATAGGTGTATCTCATTGTATTTATACATTAACAATAATTTCTTGAATACTTCAATAAGAATATATATAGTATATAGTCCAATTATAAGGTGTCTTTGCATACTGTAATACTATGGTTATTTTGGCTATATTTATATATATACACAATATACAATTATATATATATACAATTATGTTACAATGTAGCAATTGATGAAGCTACAACGGTCTGCTCCATGTAAAATGATATACATGAAAATGATATAGCAGTTACTGGTCTCATAAAAGCATAAAAACAGTTTTGCCATGTTAATATCCATTTCCTTGATAGCAGAAAAATTATTATTAGCTATCACATGGCTCAGTCATATGAAAGCAACTAATGCTGAGGGTCTATCACTTAGGAAACACAGATTTCAAAAAACCAAAAGTCCAATTTCCAATGCACTATATGAACCCAAGAAAAACATTATACCTCGCCTGAGTTTCAAGAAGCAACTAAGGGAGAGCAGAGCAGAGTCTACTTTGAGAGCCACTTTTTTATGGAGGACATAATGTAGAGCAAGGGTGCTCAAAAGGTAGATCCCTATATGTTTTAAAACTACAGCTTCCATAATGCTTTGTCATTTCTAAAGGCAATTTAAAGGTATGCAAAGCATCATGGGAGTTGTAATTCTACAACATCGGGGGTTCTACCTTTTAGGCACCCCTGTTGTAGAGTACCAGTGCAATGTCTCCAATCTCTGGTATTAATGTGGCGATGAATCTAGTGACGAGAATTCTGTTTCTGCACCATTGCCGACATAGCACTTTCACTACTACTATTTTTTTACTCGATGATGATGAGTGTGGAGAGTACTGTCAACATAATGCTGTGGTAATACCCACATATTTTCACTTTCATTTATTGATTATTTTTTACAGAAATTAAGAGAGATTAATGTTTTATAGCATTTTATCTTTTTTAAGAATGAAAAATTATTTTTTTAAATTATTATTTTTTTTTTTTAAATGTTGTGTTGTAAACCATTGCCTCTTCTTGTTTTGGTCTCTTATTTGATGTAGTGTATTAGTCAAATGTAGATTTAAAGATCTGGTCTATTTTCAACAGTGCAAAACTATATACCCTCTATAGTACATAAAACTATACATGTATTTTATTGCTTACCAGTTTTAATTTTTTTCACCTGTTTAACATATATTGCTACACTGAAATGCAGTTAGAATAAAGCTTTTCTATTTACTGTAAACATCCACTCTTTAGTTTGGATTGATTTTGGAGGATTATTTGAATGATGTTTATGAGCAATATATTTCTTATACCTGAGGTTTCTATGTTCATGTAAATTGTAAGGTCCGCCAATGATTTGAATGCATTTGTTACTGTACTGTAGTATATTAGTTTTTGACTCTTTTTAACTTTTTAAAATTATTTCAGCTAATTAAGCTCTTATTCATATTTAATCTGAGGTCCGCTGAGAGATTTATGAGCAAGATCCATCAGCGCAAGCGCGACCAGGGTCTCCACTGGGTGAAGAATGATGTTATGCGCGCACCTTCGGTTTCCAATGTATTTATTTATTTGTTGACAATCTTAATTTATATTTTTCGTGTAAAAAATACAGGCAGAATGAGAAAAAACAGTGGCTGTACAAGGAAAAGGTTCCAACAACATACTTAGTACAGATAGATGGCTGCAACTACATCGTAACAATACTTAGCAGTGTACAGTCGTTCCTTATGTCACTTGTCTATTATTTTGGATATGAGCGACAGGTAACAGATCCCGGCAGTGAGCAAGGTATCATATAGTGTTAAGGCAATATATGGCATAAGTACATACCATGAATGCAGCTGGTGAGCGATGTAGGCTGCTCATTAATGATAGGTATGAGTGTCGCTAAGTTACAGCTTTACGGTATGTAAGTTAGGTGTGTTCAATAAAATTTGCGCTCCGTGGCTGGGTTTAAATGAAACAGTAGGTCCAGCCACTCCTGAAGAAGTCCTGACTGGTCCAGGACAAAACACATAGAGCAAGACCTGACGGAGAAGTTCCCCAGGCAACAATCATGTCCCTATTCTACATAAGGTATAGGAGCACCCAGGAGTCACAACCAATGGGGTTTCCATCACCTATTGTGTTTAATAAATGTATGATTTTTTGTATCCTGGTTTTCCTTTTATTTTTCATATAAGTTTTAATACTATATGTTAAAGCTGCAAGACTGTTAACTATATATCACAATAGCTGGTATATTGCGCCCTCTTGTGTAATTTTAGGATACTCCTGGATGTGCACATGTTTCCATTATCGTTTCTGGCATGTAGTGTGCACTATCTGCTAGCATCATCTCCATCATATCAATGCTTTAGAATCGTTTCATCCATCAGAGAGAATTGTAGAGTGTTTAATCCATCGTTTCATCCATCAGAGACATCAGCTGCACCTGCTACCACTGTCACAAGTAGCTCATTCACTGTCAATCTTACCATCACTAGCACCACCACTTCCTCCATGAATATCACCACAACCAACATCCCCTGTACCACCAGGATCAGCACTTTTATTATCATTAATCAGCCAAGTACTAGTGTACAGGCTAGTGTTGCAACAGCTTCCACTGCCTCCAATGTAAATCCTCCTGCAACCACAATGCAAATGGTAGGGTCTAATGTATCACGCCAATAAAGCAAAGTTTAGCATCACTACGAGCACCTCCAAGAATGCTGACTTTCAAAATGCAAATTGTGCGGCAAGGAAATGGGAGAAGCTGCCTGTATCACTTACACACATTTTGATTCACTGATTTACAATTCTTTTACTGATTTGTGATTTGTTTTTCTTCTATTTCTAGCATAAACCCTACACTGAGTATGACCAGGGCCGGAGTAAGAGCCCGCTGGGCCTGGTGCTGACAAATATGATGGACCTAATAGCAGAATCTTATCGACAGAAAACACTAAAACAGTTATACCTCCCAAGCATAATGTATCTGGCGGAGGTGGTGCTGGAGGGAAACTCACAGAATATAGCTATCAGAAAACACATGCCCTATGCCAATCTCTCGCTTTTCTTTCCAGTAAATCCATACCACCTAACAACAGTGTCCGGTGAAGCAGGATTTCGGTGGGCAGGGTAGAAGGGTGGTCCACTGATGTGAATCATGTAGTATACAAACATGCCCAAAAAGAAGGCATTGCTGCACAAAGAATTAGATGGTCAGCCTGGCGTGAATGCACTTCAGGCTGCCTGCCAATCATGCAGGATGACCAACCAAGGGCATACTGTGCAGACAGCACCCTGAGCTTTGCCTAAATGCAGCATCCTTGCAGCTATGAGGAAATGCCTCGTATGGGATTTTTCAAATTTAGAGATAAGAAGAGTGACATGACTAAGCAATATTGCACAAGGAGTAAAAGAGGCTCCATCACCCACATTCAATGTCATTGTCTAATGAACAAGGCTCCAAAATGGCCTTGTAATTATGCACTCCCACCAAATGCGAAGTAAGGTTGTTTTGGCTGTCCGAACTGCCTTTCTGAATTTCATTTTAGTACTGAAATGTGGCAGAACAGCAGCATAAACTAAATTCTACTATCCTGAAAAGAAAAATCTGCCAAAGTGGTTAGGAAGAACCACATTTTTGCCCTGCATGAGTCTAGTGAGTATATTGAAATTTAAATTAACATGCATGTGTAGAATGTGTGTATGAGTAGTATATGGGGTTATTCTGCTTTAAGAATAATACTGATCTAGCAGTTTCCACTGCTGTCAGTGAGAGTTTATAAATGAAAACCCCAGATCTGTTTTAGTCATTATGCATAATAAAGTGCAGATTTATTTTTTTCTTTTGGTAGACATGAGCGATATGGAATATGAGTAAGCATGTGAATGCTTTCATTAATCAAAGTGTTCTTTGGCAATTGGAAATGTTAGGATAAATACTTCATTGCTAAGGAGTGCATTTCAAATACAGCAAATATCACCTTCCCCACTATTTACTGCAAAGCACGTGTCCTGACATACAAGATAGCGAGTGGTGTATGTAAGATGTGGACATGTCACCTTCTATATTCTAATTCATAGCATTGGTACTCAATAACATTCCCTCACTCTGTCCATTTCCCTTGTGTCTACTTAATAATCCACTGCTTAATTGACTCTGAGGTTTGTGCTCTCCATCAAGTAATACATTTATCTTCCAAAATCATTATATATATTTTTCAAACTCAATAATAGCTTTAACGTTAATTCTAACTCAAACCAGATAAAAATACACCAGTAGCAACTGTAAAGGAATTCAGTGTCATAACTCAAGATAGGAGATTGGCAGAGAGTTTGCATTTTTGGGATATAAGGGAGAAACATTGGTAAAACATCACATATATGCACATTCTACAGCCTTTTATTTTTTCTCTCCCTTCCCCCCTTTTCCCTTTTAACCAAGTCTCCTTTTTTCTCATTTACCTTCATTTTTACACCTTGTTTAATGCAATGTATCGTATATGCTATATTAATATAATATGTATAGTGATGTCGCGAACACGAAATTTTCGGTTCGCGAACGGCGAACGCGAACTTCCGCAAATGTTCGCGAACCAGCGAACCGGGCGAACCGCCATAGACTTCAATGGGC